TAGTAGGTAAATTCGGCAAAGTTGGATAGAAGCAAAATGATGGAAGCGCCGCGTGTTAGCTTGGCAAGTGGCCAGATCTTAGCAACGTGGAAGACCAGCGAGGTAAGAGCCAAGCGTCTAGGCGCTGTATGAAGGCCTCCGTATTGGGCGCTGAGACAACAGCTTCGGGGAGGGGCGTTCCAAGCGAAGGCAGTACGCACACTGAAACTGTTTCTTCGGCACAGAAGGCGACTGCTACGAGTCATCAGTTTGAGTGAGTGCCCTCGAAGATGATCTGTACGGGCGCGGACCAGCAATCCTGCGTTTGGGTGCCTGTTATTAGTCAGGACGGAATAAGCTAAGGTCGCCACGAAGCCTGCGATATTTCAACGGGAAGAGGTTAAGGGCCGCCAGACGCTCCTCATACGAGAAGTGGGATAGTCCGTCCACTCTCTTAGTGGCTCTGCGCTGTACAGTTTCCAGCATGGCCTCGTCCTTCTTCAGGTACGGCGGCTGGACAAGTATGTTGTACTCAAGCAGCGGACGTACTAAAGTGCTATAGAGACGGACAAATGTCTCTCTAGGGAAAGACCCTAGTGCACGTCCAAGGAGGGCCAGGCGAACGCTAGCCTTTCGTGCCAGTGTAGCTACATTGGCGCTCGGGCTCAGGTCGGCGGATATTATGGTCCCCAGGTCGCGTTCCTGGGATGTGACTTTAAGATGCACACCGCCGATATTGTACGCATTAGCCACGCCTTGCCCAACGTGCATGACTTTGCGCTTGTCGATGTTGCACGGGAGCGAATTTTTCGAGGCCCAAGAATAAGCAGCATCGATATCTGTTTGGAGAAGTGCCTGAAGACAACCTGAACCAGACTGCTGCATTCGCGGACCACAAACAAATAGGTTCTGGCAGTGTCGATTCGGCACAGACTGTCACTTGGACAACCTGCAAGGATTGATGGTAAAAATCGGCATACATTAATATGGCATATAATTAATATGTACCTCGCTATTTGTGAACTTCGTAAATATATAACTTTAGTTAGGGCTTTGCAACATTGTGCATTTTAACACTTCGTAACGCTTAGTATTGCTAACTTTCTTAACGCTTATAAGGTTATCAGTTATTAAGTACAGAACTCTGTTAGCCATCCCTATATTCGCTATATAAATTGTACCTGCGCGCAATCATGGATGTACCAAAGTTCACAGCTCGAATTCTAATTCCTGCTGTTCGCGAGCACAGTGGTCCCTCTCTGGACAACAGGAATCAGATTTGACACAGCGACATTGACTGTTGCAATACTGAAACGAACGAGCGAAACTAGGTTTGCGCGTGGTCGAATTCGCATAGTTGCTTTGACGGCACTTTCTCCCTCTGCCTTTCAGAACGTCATTCCTGCGCAAGCACTGATGAAGTACGAGAACCTGAGGAGCAAAGTTAACTGTAACTTTGCTTCCACCCCTTCCTATGTTACTGATTCTTTCTTATAGAGTCCAAGTGTTGTGTAAAAGAAGTTATGTCTCAATCCCTGGAGTTCTCCCTTGTCTGCATTCTACAACTGACGACCATGCCAGGATACCAGAGCGACGCAGAAATCAAAGAGTCAGTGTGAAGACGAAAGTCCAAAGCTTGGAGTTGATCCCGGAGTGAGCATTTCTGTCGCCTTGGAATTACTGTCAGACGCTTTACAGAAGATGACTACGAATCCGCTACCAACCGCGTCCACACCCCTGCTACTGCCCCCTGAAAGGTTTTCACAGGACATGGCCTACTCAAGGTGGGAAAACAAGTACAACTGTACCTAAAGAGCTTTCCTGTTTTGCAACACGGTACCATCAAAATGAAACTGCTATCAGAAGAGGCGTTCGATATTGTGGCGGATACTAAACTTCTGGAAGAACTGGTCACATAGGAAACATTCGTTGCCCTTCGGCTCTTATTGGACAGGTCTGGCCTGCCCGACGAGTTGCACGAAGCCTTTCATGCCCGGTATCAAAGACCGGGAGAAACGTAGGAACATACGCTGACGAATTGCGGAGAATGGCCGTACCTGCCTATGCAGACGAAACACAAGAACAACAGGACAACCGCAATTTAGAGCAGCTGCTCGAAGGCATCCAAACTCCCTCCGTAAAGGGGAGTTTCGTGTACGACGCCCTACTTGTCATCAGGCAGCCTAAGAAGTGTCAGACCAATTAAAGCAAGTGCACGAGTCCGTGGACCCTATGAAACCATGAGGTGCGCTGAAGGGATGCACTGACGCTAGCTTCAAAGTACCAGAAAGAAGGAACTGAAATCACTTTCGGTATCGATGGTGTTACTCGCGACCTCTAGTACAATCGAACTTCCGAAGACCCCGCCCTCCTCCACCAAGAAGAGGAAATTTCCAGCCAAGCCGTGGCTGCCGAAAGCTTCAAGGTGAGTGCGACCAGAGGAAGCCAGTTTGCATTCCCGCTGTCACTTGTACAACGTCCGCATTCTCAATAACGGTAGAGCTAATCGTAGCAGGAATGCCACTGATAGGTCTAATTGACACAGGAGCATGCAGGAGCTTAGTCCAAGTTAATATAACCAAGTCGCTGACAGCTTGAGTGTGGACGCCATGCAGCTATCGTCTGACCATTGCTAATGGGGAACCCCTGTCTGTTCAGGAATCTATCACTGTTTAGGTGCACACTGTTAATGAAAATTTCCGCCACGAGTTTATTGTCGCTGATAACCTTCCATTTGCTGTAATCATTGGAACGGATTTATTGGGGCGTCTGAGATGTCATTTAGATATATACGAATGCCAGTTGATCACCAAGAGTTACGTTTTATTGCTCAGACAAGGCCAGGCCGACAGTCTTGAAACATTTACGATTGGTGGGAGCCCCTCTGACGAGGAACACCGGGTAGGTACGTTTAGCCGCTCTCTCGAATTGCCAACGAGCGAGCGAACGTTTAGAAAGCTCAAAGAAGTGCTGCTAGCCCACTCCGATGCATTCGCCTGGCGGACTGGAGACTTGCGCCGCACCAGCCTTGTGAACCACCTAATCGACACGGGAATACGACCCCGATTAAGGTTCACCCAAGACGGATCCCAGTGCACTGGCAAAGCGAGCTGCAAAGGCTCACAGGCGATGTTGAAAACAGTTATAGACCCTCTACTCCATAGGCAGCCCCAGTCGTCTTGGTAAAGAAGAAAGGTGGAGGTTTTGGGCTGTGTGTTTATTATAGGCGGCTAAATGAAGTCACGCGGGAAGATGCAAATCCACTGCCCAGAATTAATGACCCTTTCGATGCGTTCGGAGTGTCAGCTTATTTCAACACGCTAGATTTGGTGCCTAGCTATTGGCAACTGAAGGTTGAAGTGAATGACCGAGCGAAGACAGCCTTTGTAGTCCCTCCAAGCCTTTACGAGTTTCAAACAATGTCTTTCGGCCTATCAAAGGCTCCTGCAACGTTTCAAAGCACTATGCAGACAGCACTTCACAATTTAATTCCTCACAAGTGTCTCGTCTACATGAACGATATCAGCGTACATGGGAGAAGGAAGGATGAACATCTATGCAATCTAGCCGAAGTGTTAACGTGTCTAATCAAAGTAGGTTTGAAACTCCAACCATAACATGTCGCTTACTGCAAGAAGAAGTTACCTATCTCGGACACATCATTTCTATGGCAGGCATCCGGACAGATCTTCGCAAGACAGACCAGGCATAGGCGTGGCCGATCCCCACTAACGTTGATGAGTTACGCAGTTTCTTAAAACTGGTGTCATACTACCGTCGATTCATCAAAGGGTTTTTGGAAGTCGCAGCCCCTTTAAACGCGTTGTTGCAGAATAATCGTAGTTTCGATTGGATTGTCGAATGTCCAACAGGCTTCGATCGATTGTGTGAGTCTCTGTGTACCGCCCCGATGATAATATTCCCCGACTTGTTACCACACGCTGGGGAGTTTATTTTGGTTACGGACGCCGGCGATCAGTCTATTAGAGTGGTTTTGTCACAAAACGGGCGAGATGTCATAGAGAGAGTGGTTTCATACAGTAGTAGAAGCTTTACGTCAAGAGAACGAAATTGCTGTACGACAAGGAAAGGAATGTTGGCGTTTGTGTTTTGCATAATGCAAAATCGGCACTACCTTTTAGGTAGAAATTCGTAGTAGGTACTGATCACAAATCAATCAGGTGGTTGCAGAACTTCAAGGACCATGAGGGGCAGATTACTCGATGGCAAGAGCAGCTGCAGTAGTATGAGTTCGAACGTCACCATCGGCCTGGAAAACTACACCGCAACGCGGACGCACTATCGGGGATTCCTTCTCGAGCTCACAGAAACTGTCCTTCCGGCATTACGCAACACGTAGCGCTAGTTAACCTACATAAATCCGAGTATGGTCGTTGGCAAAAAGCACAGGCTTCGGACCCAAGCATATCACTTATCTACCACGAGCGGCGCGCGGGAAGGGACAAACCAGGTCCGAAAATAAGATGGGTAAAGCTACGAAGCTCGCTGTTTGTGGGCGATGTGGGATAAACTCGCCATCGAAGAGGGTGGGTTGGTCTTCTATTTCAACCCCACGTACCTGAGGAGGATCGTAGTTCCACAGGCGTTAGTTACGGAAGTATTGTCGGAACTGCACCAATAGCTGAGACACGCTGGAATCAGTGAACTCGAATCGGCGGCGCGCCGACGATTTTGGTGGCCGCATCAACGAACAGACATTGTCAACTTCTGTCAAAATTGCGAAAGATGCGCGACGTTCAAAAATGCGCCTATCGCTCATGGGGTGCCGTTACTACCTATGACAGCGGGTTACCCGAACGAAGTAGTTGGAGTAGACCTCGTTGGTCCGCTACCGGAAACGCCGAGAGGGAATCGCTGCCTCCTATTCATGGAAGACCACTTCACCAAATGGTGTGAAGCCGTGCCAATCGCGCAGGTTGATACTCTCACTGTGTCAACAGCGATGACTAACCACTGGGTATGCCAACGGGGAGCACCTGGGCAACTGCATTCCG